TGGGGTCAGCCTATCTAGAACTGTCAAACAAAGCCCTGTTTTTTTTGTTTTGCCTTTTTTTGGGGGCGATGCCAAATCCCTCGCTTGGGTGTTTCTTGCTCGTCGGGTGCTGCCTTTCGTGCTTGGGTTCTTTGTTTCCTTTTTTGGGGGCGATGCCAAATCCCTCGCTTGGGTGTTTCTTGCTCGTCGGGTGCTGCCTTTCGTGTTGGGGTTCTTTTTTGGCCTTTTTTTTTGGGGCGATGCCAAATCCCTCGCTTGGGTGTTTCTTGCTCGTCGGGTGCTTACTAAATGGATGGTCATGGGATCAGTCTATCTAGAACTGTTTGAAACAAAGCCTTGTTGCATCCTTGTGTGCCCTATTATCCCATGCGTGCTATGGAACACCATTTTGTAGTCCCAAAATGTCCAAAATCTGTCAAGATTTCCCCTGTTTAGCCAAGTGCTGCCTCTACAAAATGGATGGTCATGGGATCAGTCATATGTGTTTCATGTTGTTTTCTCTACTAAATGGACCCCGTGTATTTCTCCACTAAATGGCTTTGGGGTTTTGGTCGAATGATGTTGGTCTCGCAACTTGTGCTCACATGAGTACCTCTACTAAATGGAACAGGGTGTTTGGTCGAGTCATGTTGGTGTCTTAAGACACTCTGAAAATATATCCAAATTTTGCGCTTCAGCTGAACCAGGGACCCACATTTAGTAGTGAAATTCGATCATGTATGCGCATCCATTTAGTAGAGCTTGAGGCTATGCAAACCGTTTCTTCACTACAAAATGGTTGCGCAGCCCCACCCCTTAATTGACAGGGGGTTGTATTTTTGTAGTGTTTTGTATTTTCCATTACTTCCAAAAATGCACTTTGTATTTTTGTATTTTTGTCGTATTTTTCCATTCCTTCACAGATTGCACTTTGTCCTTTTGTATTTTTTTCGTTCTTTAGACATGCCGTCAAAGAACAAAACCGCGAATCCTCCAATGTATGTTGCATTTCCCTTTTGTTGCTGATTTTGCCCCCCTCAGTGTCGCATTTTTTTTGTAATCTGGGTTTGTATTATTTTTTATTTTTTTTGATTGCAGAAGTCCGAGAATGTAGCCAGCACCCGACTAGCCAAAAATAGTTTCTAGCTTAGAAATAGTTCTGGACCGTTCCAGTGCCCTGCTTTCCCTCATCTCCCTCAGTTTTTTTTTCACTGGCCAATGAAACAGAAAGTCAAAACTAAAGACGGCCTTGGCGCGTGGTAAAATGCTTCCGTGGCCAACACTCGCAAAATCCTACCCACATACTTTCAAATTTGTGGATTGGCGCTGGTGTTGTTTTCATGGAAAATTTATCCCTCAAAAATGTTTATGAAGGTTGGTAGACACGCTAGCCTTGACAACCAGCAAGTGGACCAGATTTCGGCTGTGTGGAACATGCTATATGCGATAATTCAATTCGAGAAGGACATTACTTTCGGTATTGGCAGCAAGTTGAGTTTGCTACATGGTGGTGATGGTTTTGGTGCAACATTTGCAGCACTTAGAACTTACATCACTTAATGCAGCAAAAAAATGCATAAGAATGAATGGCCTAGCGGTTTGTATTACATACAATTTTCATTTCCAATTCTGACATATGTTGACCTGATGTGATGTGAATGTCAAAATGATGCGGGGCCTAAAAAACAGTATTTAAGTACCATCACACTTCACATCATCGACTATCAGCATCAACTTGCTTGTTGCCGGATTGATCACAAATTATTAGATTAGATTCACAGACATTTCACGAAACATGTTTTCGATCAGGTTTCGTTCTCATCGTGTAGGTCCAACAAATCGGCTAACCCCAAACATGTGTTTGGGTTGTTGCCACCATTTTCATAGAATGACCTTTCACTTACCTTTTGCATTTTTTCTTCCCCCCCTTAGTTCGCAGCACTGTTGTGCACTGTGTATAGATTTGGGCCCGTTTCCGAAGATCCCGCCGTTGCGTTTTGGAAAAAAATAAGCTCTGAATCTTAAGGACCATGGTTTGCTTTGGGGCTGTTTTGTTTTGACCATGCAACATGCGCCGCACCACATTCGAATGCTTTGAGTTCTGTACGGGCTTGGGGGTTGCAAAAGTGGGACCTGCTCCAGCGGCCACAAATAAGAATTCAGTATAATTCGGTTTCTGACTGTCCGTCAGGGGGGCTTCATCGAAGTCTTGTCAAAACATCCAACAGGCGCGAGCGCTCCTTCAAATCGCTTGAGTTGTTCCTCGTTTGTGCATTTGCATTTTCTCCTCGCGCGCGTGCTTGTTCTTTGCTCATTGTGCACATTCAATTTTTTTGTCTAGTGTGTCGAACTCGTAACAACAGCTTGGCGCCGTTTGGCACGGAGTGCAAGGCGTCGCCTCCAAGGCCCCGGCATTCTCGGCAGAATTCGCAAGAAAAAATTGAACATATTTGAACGTAGTGAATAACAAATTTCGAACAATGCCTGGATGGTACAGATAGAAATATTTTTGAGAAAAACATGCATTTTTTTGATTGCGAGATTGGGCATCAGAATCGCAGTTTCCTAACGGTTTCTTTCGCGGCACCTATCTTCATTCAATCTCGAACAAAACATGTAAAGACCATGTCCAATCTTTGCAAGATGAATCAAGATGAGACGTATAGATGGTGACTAGCGTACCTTCAGAATTTGTAGCACTGGTGACATCTAGCGTGGTGACACTTGGTGAGTGGCGTTTGTCAGTTGCTATGCGGCTGCAAACTATGTTGGCAACATGAGGCGAAGGGCGTCGATAGTTTTGATTGTTGAAACCTGTGTATTTGCGTGTTCTGGGTGCATGCAACTGTTTGGAGCGCGCGCAAAATACAGTATATTTTTTATCAGATTTCAAAGGATTATTTCTTCTATTCTAGTAATCCTTTCCCCTATTACTACACTGTTCCCCTCCAATAAGAAACATCTGAAGGAGTTTTTGGTATTAGGGATGTTTAGTTTTAAGGTGCGAAACTTTCTCTTAACACCAAATAAAAAACGCTAACATAGTTGTTTTCCTTTTTCAAAATCGATTAGATTTCCTTGAAAAATCTACTTAAAATATTGCCAAATATTGAATTTCGAAGTTTTCCCCTAGTAGTAAATTAAAAACCCCCAATATCAAAAACTAGAATTTTCTGTTTCAAAATCGATTGGATTCCAATTGAAACTTTAATATATTTAAAATACTGCCCAAAATTGAATTTCGAAACTTTCCCCTAGTACTAAATTAACACAACCACCCCGGGGTTGAGTAGTTTTGAAAATTGGGCGGTGAAACCCTGAAATGGGACCTTCATGTTTATATAATTCGTTTTCGAAAGGGGATCAATTAAAAATCAAATTGGCCAGATTGAAACGCGGACCTTATGTAGGCTTTAGTATTTGGGGCACGTGTAAAAAGAAGGTGGGGATTAATGGAATTGTCCTCTTCAATGTGCGCAATGATTGAAATTGAAAGACAAGTGAATCAATTGGAGGTATTGTTCTTAAAATGGCATGATAAAAAATTGACGGCCGGTCGGAATCGGTCGAAATATGTTGGCAACGTGCGTTCTTAGTAGAAACGTGCATCCTTATCATGTTGGTGGGTTTGGCTCTTACAGGTGTTACCGCCGCTTCGACTGTTATAGTTTTATTTCATTGACTTGAAACCCGGACAGGACAGAATCAAAACTGTAGCCAGCATTTGCGGCACAATAATGATTTCTTGTTTCATATTGTTTTCAAATTGTTATTGTCATCCTGTTTCCTGCTAGGCGCGCAGGTGCCATGCATGCCCAATGTTTGGCGCCATGCCCGGCTCCAAACCAATATGGTTGAGAGTTTGCTTTTCAAAATAGCGCAGCGGTGTTAACAATGTCCAATAATATTTGAACAGGGGGAACGTGTTTACAATGTTTGAATGTGTTTAATTTGGCTACCCAAATGGGTTTGAACATCAATTCCGACCATGATACTCTCTCTCTCTCTATATATATATTATAGTTTGGGAGTGCCATGATTTGAAATCATGACTTGGCTGGAAGCGGGTCACTTTTTAGCCCTTTTTCTTGAACTGGTTTACAGCCGGTCCCGTTTTGCTTTTCTGTCACAATCTACGTGATGGAAATTGAACTGGGGTTCCCTGCCACCACACTGATCGACAGCGCGCCAATGTGCGCTCTCCGGCCCCCATGATGTTGTTTTCCGGACAGCAGCACCATGATATATTGAACAATTTGTTTCGCGTTCACTTAGGCATCTATATTTTTTAGCCGTTCCCATGGTCAGTTAATCACCTGTGAAGAGTTCGACTAGGGAATCATAAACATAGAATTGATTTGGAAATAGGTGGTGCCTAAATCATATATATATATATATATTGGTGAATAATTTTCATTACAAAGGTTTCTGAAGCAGAATGTGTGGTGCCAATCTCGGCACAACAGACTTGTTGACTGCCCAGGTATTATGACTGCGCAGCGGAGATGGCACCCCGCACCTGTACTTGTGAGTGAACCAGCCAAGAATAGGGCACGGATAAAATGCGCTCACTTTAGCCGTTGCAACCCAACATTGGTTGGGATCACCTTGAGGGCTGTCAATAGGAAAGCATGCTGTTACCCGTGTGCAGCTGTAGTCGCGGCTTCGTGCCCCGAGTGTATGGTGTAATTACAAATGTTGAGACAATGTTTCCCTGACAGGGCGAGCAGCAACAACTTTCTGTTTGGTTTAAATCTAAAGGCGGAATCTTTTCAAACCGATTTTGGTGTGATTCAAGTTGATTGTGCCGTGCGCGATGGGGGCGGCAAAGGTCAATGACAGGAGGTTTTTCGCCTTGACAGTAATTTTCCACCATTTGCTGGCTGCGACTATTGTAGTTAACACCAAAAGTATAGAAACATATTTCATCATGTTTTGCCCCTGTTCTAGTCGGACCGTATATTTTTTAAAAGAGGTGCAGGGCAACAAACAAAACACCAAACCCACGAAGTTCCATCGACATGGTCCCAACCAAAGCATCACTGGGATTTGAAGCTATGGCATTCCTTCTGCTTTGCGCAGCGATACTTCCCATCGCGCTTGGGCTGGAAGTGCTTTCATTGCAGCAAACGCATCAACCTGAAAAGGCGTCCGGGGTGGTCACGTGCCTGGATGCGGGTGCATACCGGCTGTTTTGCAAATGATAGAAGCAGAGTGAGGTCGGTAGGCAATTAATGTGAATGCTGTTCGGTATTGTTTCGTGCTGTTTCACTAAAAATATTTGTTCGTTCATTAAATACGGCAAAACCCACGTGTTTGGAAGGCGAATACAATTTTCAATCAACGTTTTGGAAAAAAACGCGAGCGCCGGTTGACAAATTCAATGTTCCAGCTGATATATTTTTTGGCGTTGCCGTTACCAAAATTTAATTTCCTTGCAACGGATTTTCGACCGTACACGTAAACACATACACACACATATCATATAATTAGACACTTATACTTATACTTATATATGCACACACACATATAGATAGATAGATAGATAGATAGATAGATAGATAGATAGATAGATAGATGGATAGATGGATAGATGGATAGATGGATAGATGGATAGATGGATAGATGGATAGATGGATAGATGGATAGATGGATATATATATATATACCAATATTTCTATATAATGCAATTTTTATTTATACAGTCGTAGGCTGCAATTGTTGCCTTGTTTTCGGGGTCACTACAAACATGTTTCCTTTTAAACAAACTTATTTTTGCACCCTGCGGCCCCTGCGAATGAGTTTGGGCAGGTTTTTCACCAGGACCAGAAATCCTTTTTGCCACCTTTTGTCTGTGAACCAGAGACCGCATCAAAAAATCAAAACATGTTTTGAAAAAAAGCAAGCGGATTCAAAATCAACCACATGAATTGAAATGCAAGACAATGTTTGTTTACATCATATTGATGATGTCCTAAAACAAGTTTGTTCAGTCCGGAGAAATCATTCAGGATTTGTTACTTGACAACAGTCGTTCTTGTGTTTCGATGCAACCCCCTTTGCCCAAGATGAAATATACTTGGTTACTTGGTTTTGCATTGTTTTTTCTCCCATGTCTTCCCCAGTCCGATCAAAACGCCAGGCAGGATTTTCCAGGCGATTGTGATACAAACTAAATTTCGCCCGGAGAAAAACAAACAAACCCCTTGAGGCACCAAACACATTAACTTGCACCGAATGTGCGGGTCTTTTGCGTTTGCGTGGCAGGCATTATGGGCGGATTGGTCAAATTGGGACACCAAGACTCTACGGATTCCAGCCTTCAGGATTTCATTCCAGGCGCACCCGTGCACATGGTCGCCATGCTGAGTGCATTGGTTTCACCGTGACACCACGACGTACATGGTGGGTAGATGTGGTCTGTAGCAGAAACCATCTCCAGCTCGCATGTTTTAAAGGTTTAGTTTGGTGAATATTTTAATGTACACAGGTGGATGATGAATTGGCAACATTATACATACATTTACGCAAGGCAATGCTGGATTGTCAGCCGCGAGTTCATGAACGTTCAGTTTGTATCAAAAGTGGTGAAATCCCAGTCGCGGTTGGATTCATCACTATGTTGAAGCATGTTGTAGACCCCTTTTTCTGCATTTGGTGTGGTTCGATTTTGTTGGCGAGACCATCCGAGACGAGACATGAGAGAAAACACCATTTGAAATGACAATACATAAAATACATACATGTTGTGTGGCTAGAGGATCTCGCCGCCTTTGCTATTTGCAGCAGTTTTTGGACGCACGTGATTTCATTGTGTTAATGATAAAAATTCGAGTGGTAGTAGGGATTGACTGTACTGTGATACATGCATGTGATGTTCACAGAAAAAGATGTGTCCTTATTGTGTTTTTCCGGGTTTATTTTCTACACCCATTCGATCTGGCCTTGGAGTATT